AGCAAAATATGATTTAGTACTTGGTGGAGAAACCCTTGTTGGCAAGCACAGAGGTAAGATATTTCTTGTAGTTGGTTACCAGATTTGCACACATCTCAGAAGGGATTTTTCTTTTTTATATATCTTCTCTAAATCCTTACGGTTTCTTAGCTGTCTCTTGGCAACTCGAAGTTTCAGCTCCCTCCATAAATTTCCTATACGATTAAGGTCTGGAGACTGGCTAGGCCACTCCATGACCTTAACCTTCCTAGTGGTAATCCCAAGTGTGACTCGGGGTTAATTTACAGTACCAAAAGCGGTAATCCAAAGCCACACTCGGAATTACACTGTAGTGCTTATCCTGTGATCCCCCAATCCTAACCTTGTCCTGCGACCCCCCGATGTCCTCCTGCTGTGCCCTCCGGCGTTCCAGCGGCCATCTTTGGGAGCTGTGTTGGTCTGTGTGGATTCTCTGCTCTATCCTGTGGCTGATATGAGATTCCTGGAATAAGGGAGGCTGTTAAAACGCTCATGTTTCATCTGGAGGCTATTATATTTAATAAATGTGCCTTTTACAAGTTGCTAACATGTGAGTGGCCTTAATCTCTGTTTTAAAATTGTATTATTATTTGGCAATATTACACTATTTGAGATTTCTCTCTCCTGGTTGAACGGTTCGGATGGTGAAGAATTCTATAGAGTGGATGCTAAAGAGGGTTTAGGATCCCTTTAAAATTACCTAAAAGCTTCTCACTCACCAAGTTCTGGTGAGTGCATTTGATGTTGGTTTTTGCACGGGTGGAAGGTGGACGTTATTCTTTATATTTGAAGAAATTTTTGGAATTTTTTTTATCTTTATTACACATGGACTTTTGGTGTTTTATAATAATATAATTGAGGACACTCACTATTAATTTATGCACTTTATATAATAATTTTTTATGAGTGGATTTAGAAATCTTTTTTTGCGCTGTTTATTTATATTTCTGTATGGCTGTTACGCCTAACCTTTCTGTGACCTCGCAAGCACATGGTATGTAAGAAAGTTTTAGGATGGTTCATTTTGTTCTATCGTGTTTAGTTGAATACTTATTTTTGTTCCTTTTTTCTGTCTTAAATTTGAATGTCTCTTTGACTGTTTGGTGGGGTTTCTTCTGCATCCTTAAAAGTATTTTGTTTCAGAGTTTTATTGCTGGATTCCCTTAGTGAATAAGCTCGCCAATAGAGGATTTTGGACTCTACAGTTTTTGTGGTAGGTGTTGGATATTTTACCCAGTTGGATATGGGGATGTATGTGTATGTGTGTGTGTACGTATGTGTGTATTTATATATGTATATACTGTATATACACAGTTGTGCTCAAACGTTTGCATACCCGGGCAGAAATTGTGAAATTTTGGCATTGATATTGAAAATATGACTGATCATGCCAAAAAATACTCTTTTATTGAAGGATGATAATCATATGATGTCATTTATTATCAAATAGTTGTTTGGCTCATTTTTAAATCATAATGATAACAGAAATCACCCAAATAGCCATGATCAAAAGTTTCCATCCCCTGGAATATTTGGCCTTGGTACAGACACACATACTGAACCATGGGGATCAGAAAAGAACTGTCAAAAGTCCTGCGTAACAAGGTAATGGAACTTTATAAAGATGGAAAAGGACATAAAAAATGTCCAAAGCCTTGAATATGCCAGTCATCACTTCCACTAAGAAGTAGAAAATTCAGGGACCTCTTGATACCAAGTCAAGTACAGTTAGACCAAGAAAGATTTGAGCCATAACTGCCAGAAGAATTGTTCGGGATACAAAGGGAAACCCATAGGTAACCACAAGAAAAATACAGGCTGCTCTGGAAAAAGACAGTGTGGTTATTTTGAAGGAGCACAATATGATGACACTTGAACAAAAATTAGCTTCATGGTGGAGGTGCCAGAAAGAAGCCTTTACTGCATCAATGACACACAAAGGCCTGGTTAGACATGTCAAGAGTTTTCAGGCATATTGTAACTGGGATTGTGGCATTGGTGCAGTAAAAGCTTCTTTCTGGCACCTCAACCAAACAGCTCATTTTTGTTCAAGTATTACCATATTGAACTCCTTAAAAACAACTACACCATCTTTTTCCAGAGCAGCCTGTATTTCTTTTGAGGTTGCCTCTGGGCTTTTCTTTGAATCCCAGGCAATTCTTCTGTCAGTTATGGCTCCAATCTTTCCTGGTCTACCTGACCTTAGCTTGGTATCAAGAGATCCCCGAAGTTTTTACTTCCTAATAAGTAATTTTACAGTACTGATTGGCATATTCAAGGCTTTGGACATCTTTTTATATCCTTTTCCATCATAAATAAAGTTCCATTACCTTGTTACGCAGGACTATTGACAGTTATTTTCAGGTCCCCATGGCTCAGTATCTAGCCTAGTCAGTGCTTCCACGTAAGAGCTAACAAACTCATTGACTATTTATATACTGACACTAATTGCAATTTAAAAAGCCACATATGTGGGACATTAACCTCTAATTGGCATTTTAACCCATGTGTGTCACTTTGTGTGTCTGTACCAAGGCCAAATATTCCAGGGGAGGGAAACTTTTGATCCGGGCCATGTGGGTGATTTCTGTTATCATTATGATTTAAAAAGGAGCCAAACAACTATTTAATAATAAATGGCTTCATATGATCATCATCCTTCAATAAGAGAGCATTTTTTGGCATGATCAGTCATATTTTCAATATCAATGCCAAATTTCACAATTTCTGCCAGGGTATGCAAACTTTTGAGCACAACTGTATATATGTGTGTATACAATTTTTTCATATATATAAATATATATATATTTTTTTTTCTCTGTACTGAGATATCAATATGTTTGTTAGTAGGAGGTCCGCATTGGTGGGTCGCAGGTTTTTCCCTCTTTTGGTTCATCTTGGACTTTTTGGCTCATCTTTTGAGGATATAGAAGTGGATGTTTGTTTTCTGGGTTTTCCATATATCAAGACACACCTGGTAAGAACGCCCTCGGGGGGGTTAACCCCACAAAAACCCAATTTAATAGATATTGATTTTGTATGTATTGGATTGATGATTCTCTTACTATTTTTTGTAATTCCGTAAACTTAAAATTGTTTACTGTTATATTTTAGTTTTCTATGGCAATTACATGCAACTACCTGTAAATCTCCTGAAGAAGCAAGAACTTTGGCCAAACATGTAGAGTTGGAACTGTTGCATTGTGAACTTCAAGGCACATGAAGTATCATGTTGGTTTTATATTTTTCAAAACTACTAATGTGATGTAGTTTTTTTTTCTATGTTAATATGGAATAAAGCTTTGTATTGATTTTAGTACATACTAAGTGTCACATTTGTTAAGCACCTAAAAAAAATCCCCTTTCTTCTCATATAAAGCTCTTTTGTCTTGTCCATGAATGATGGTGATATCTGAAAGGAAGAAAGAAATTCTGTGGACAGGTGTCTTTTATACACACAAAGAGTTGTCGTTAGGAGCACTTTCTTAAATTGAAAGGACTAATCTGTGTACCATATGAGTACATAGCCAGTCTGTAGGAGCCAGAAATATTGTTGGTTGGTAGGGAATAAAATACTTTTTTTTACTCACTGAACTGCAACTTAATTTATAACATTTGTAGCGTGTGTTTTTCTCTGGATTTTTGGTTGATATTCTGTCTCTATCATTTAAAATACACCAATAATAAAAATTATAGACCATTCATTTCTTTGTAAGTGGGCAAACTTACAAAATCTTCAGGGAATCAAATAATTATTTCCCCCCACTGTACTGCTGATGAGAAAAGGTATTTAGCCATTTATATTTACTAAAATAATTGCATTTCCATGTTGTGTGTACTGTGGGAGACCAGGTATATAGTTACATAGTTTGTCTGGCTGAAAAAAAGCAAAGTACATTCAGTTCAACCATAAAAAAAAAGTTATAATCCTACACCCGCAGTTGATCCAGAGGAAGGAAAAAAACCCAGCAAAGAATAATACAATTCCTTCCTGATCCCCCAAGAGGCAATCAGATATTCCCTGGATCAACTTTACCTATAAATGTTATATCCAGTTATATTCTGTGTATCTAGGAAAGAATCCAGGACTTTGTTAAAGCAATCCACTGAGCTGGCCAGAACCAACTCTTGAGGGAGTCTATTCCACATTTTCACAGCTCTTACTGTGAAGAAACCTTTCCATAGAAATTATTTTTTTTCCTCCAGACATAAAGAATGCCCCCTTGTCCTCTGTGTTGACTTTAAGGTGAATAACTCCACACTCTATGAACCACTGATTTATTTATACATGTTGATCATATCCCCCCTTAATCTCCTCTTCTCAAGAGAGAATAAATTCAGTTCCTCTAATCTTTCCTCATAGCTGAGCTCCTCCATGCCTCGTATCAGTTTGGTTGCCCTTCTCTGTACTTTCTCCAGTTCCCCAATGTTCTTTTTGTGAATTGGTGCCCAAAATTGAACTGCATATTTCAGATGAGGTATTACTAATGATTTGTACCGGGTAATATGATATCTCTCTCTGGAGTCTATACCTTTTTTAATACAAGAAAGGCTTTTGCTCACTTTAGAAACTGCAGCTTGGCATTGCATGCCATTATTAAGTATTACCAGAACTACCAGATCCTTCTCCACCATTGATTCCCCCAGTTGTACCCCCCCTAGTATGTATGATGCATGCACATTCTTAGCTCCCAAGTGCAGAACCTTACATTTATCAACATTAAACCTCATTTGCCACATAGTTGTCCAATTAAACAGTGCATTGAGGTTGGCTTGTAAGGACGTTATTCCACTGCACAGCTTGGTGTCATCTGCAAAGACTGAAATGGGATTTTTAATCCCAGACCCTATATTGTTTATAAATATATTAAAAAGTAAGGGTCCCAACACTGAACCTTGGGGTACACCACTGACAACCCTAGATCATTCAGAGTATGAATCATTAACCACTACTCTCTGAATACGATCTTTTAGCCAGTTTTCTATCCATTTACATACAGATTTTTCCAAGCCGTAGACTTTATCTTACACATTAGCCGTGTGTGGGGAACTGTGTCAAATGTTTATGCAAAATCCAACTATAGCACGTCCACCGCCACCCCTCTGTCCAAGTATACCTCGTCCACAGCCACCCCTCTGTCCAAGTATATCATGTCCACTGAAACCCCTCTGTCCAAGTATACCACTTCCACAGCCACCCCTCTGTCCAAGTATACCACGTCCACCACCACCCCTCTGTCCAAGTATACCACATCCACTGCCACCCCTCTGTCCAAGTATACCACATCCACCGCCACCCCCCTCTGTCCAAGAATACCACATCCACCGTCACCCCTGTGTCCAAGGTTTTGCTCACATCCTCATAAAAATAAATCAGATTTGTTTGACAACTTCTGTCTTTCATGAATCCATGCTGACTGTTGCCTAAAATATTTTTTTCCAGCAAGAACTCATCTATGTGGTCTTTTATTAAACTCTCCGGTATATTCCCAACTATAGAAGTTAAACTAACAGGTTTATAATTACTTGGTAAAAAAAAATGGAACGCTTCATGAGTTTTGCATGTCATCCTTTGCCGGGGGCCATGCTAATTTTCTCTATATCGTTCCAATTTTAGTATATGTGCTGCTGAAGATTGAAATGAATGCAGGGTCCTGGATTTAGTAACACATTAACCTCTGGAGGAACTCTGGTTGATAAAGGCTGTGCTAGTGTATGGTCAGCTTTTTTGCAGTGTTTAGCCATGCTCCCCATATACAGTGTCTGACTATCTGGGTCCTTCCTCTTGTGGTATAAATTGTATATTTCTAGCCAGGCGTCTAAGACCAGACACAGTGGACATTCGTCCTAGTACAGTAAGTGCCCAAGTACAAAAGCGTCAGAACTGCTTGTCTCTAAGAGTCAAAGGGAATGCAAAAGCAGCTCAAAGAAGCTTAGAAGATAAGCTGTTCAAAGCACCTCCAAGGTATATTAGAAGCATCTCAAACTGAACTTAAATGCAGCCTGAATGCACCTAAAAAGGAACTGCATGTAACTGCCTACACAAGCCCTTAACTTGATCTTTGAATGTGTTCCACCTGCATTTGTCTCTGTACTGGAGCAATTTTCTAGCGCAGGCACTATAGAAATATGTTTTCTAGTGTGCACAGAAAATGAAGTACAATAGAATATAATGCTCTTCCACATTTTCAACCTTTTGTAGTAGGCTTGTTTATGGAGGACACAGAAGCACTTACACATTGAAGTGCCACTTTACCAAAACATAACTTTGCAAAGGCCTCTCATGTTTAATCTCATATTGATTCTAAAAGCAGAAAGGGAAGATAATAATAATATATGATGATAATAATGATATACAGTATGTATTCCCTTTTGGATTTCAAGGCTGTATGAAATTCTACTTACTCTGTAGAGGTGCCCAGTGGGGCAGTGCTATTGGTTTGTACTGAGAATATTTCTGTAGTACATACTAATGGTGTGAAAATCAATCCTTTGTTGCTCTCCAAGCGTATCACCTACTTTCCGCACTCGAAAAGATTTTAGTTTCAATAACAATTATGGAAAAATAAAAAAAATAAAAACAATAAACAATGATTAAGGCTCTATTCACACTTGTGTGACTTTGATGCAAGTTTGAGTGCAACATAGATCTGACTTTACATTCTCCCCAAGTCACATCAAAAGTCACAACAAAGTAGTACAGTCACCTTTTCGAAGTCGCACCCATCTGAACAGGTGTCAACAATGGGCTGCGACTTGTCCTGTGACTTTATGGGGTTTATTTACTAAAGCTGGAGAGTCCAAAATCAGACTCCCTTCTGCATAGAAACCAATCAGCTTCTAACCTCAGCTTCTTCAATGAAGCTTTGGCAATGAAACCTGGAAGCTGATTGGTTTCTATGCAGAAGTGAGTCTGATTTTTCACTCTCCAGCTTTAGTAAATAAACCCCTATGTGTCCGAAATTGCACAACAAATTGCACAAGTCTGAATGAAGCCTAAAGGAAAAACAGAAAGGGAAAAATATAAAGTTATCAAAGACAATAACTACAATAAATATACAATACATATATAACAAAAAAAAGCCTACTGTTTTTAATGACACCCATTCAGATTGGTGTGACTTTGAAAAGGTGCCTACATTTTCATCATCAAGCAATCCAGCCTATTTGTACTGAAATAATTTTTTTCCTAATTTTTTTTTTGTGACACACTCTCATGACAGAGAAGGGAAGGCTACAGAAGAATGGTATAGTCTGTGATGACACGTGAGTCACTCAGGGGGCAGTGGAAAACTGTTAATGGAATCAACTACCTGAAACCTATTTATTCTGAGGTTACTTTTGTCAAGTTTCTTTCTACGCCTTTATTAAATCAACCCCTGTGGTTTGACTTCACCCCTTGGTGAAATATAGGTTAACCTAAAGAAGTGAATCGTATTCACCTTAATCATCCAATCATGTAATCCACTAACCCCACCCCCACCACCACCACACCTCCAAAAAAGTTGTGGTAAAACTCCAACATTGAACTTCTATTTGCTTGTTTTTCGTGTTTTTACTTGCTTTTGGACTATAGAATGTTTAAAGTGGAGCTTTACCCATAACAACTTGCTAAAAAATAATTTTCTTTAGCAAGGAATATACATTCCACATTAATAATTATGTTACCAACATTAGTGTGTGCTGTAAATTGCCTCCAGCATTGCTCCTGTTTCTTCTTGCTGGAGGCTGCCATGTTGCCTTAGCCCAGAGTCCTGAGGAGCAGTAAATCTTTAAGCAGTCAGTAGATCACATGAGACCTTCTAATCACAAATGAGAGATCTTCTAATGGAGACACCAGTTCCAGAGACAACTGATAAGGGGTAACCATTGCTTTGGGAAATTTATTTTAACTTTCTGTTGCATATCATGCGCAAGAACTAAAGAGAAATCCCCAAAATGGTATACAGACTGCAAAAAATAAATAAATAACCTGGCGGGTTCTAACTGTACCTAATTTATCTAAAATTAAATTTTAAAAATTGTGGGCTATATGTATGCTTTTTGGAGACTTTAGCATAGTTTTGTGCAGATATGCATAGATCAGGCACTACTCCAAACCCCACAAATCGTCCTTGGTCTCCACTGTACGCACATTGGATTCTAGCCAAAGGGAGTCCGTTGCCAGTCCATATTCCGTATAAAAGCACACAGATGGTAGAAAACCAATGTAGTCACTCATAGTAGGTCTTTATTGAGCAAGCACCAGCAAACTGAGAATCACCCCTACAGGCCACCCCTTTGATGCATTTCACCCTTGTAGGCTTAGGTATGGAGATGTCATCATTTTCTGTGAAAAGCCCCAAAAAATTTATTTTTTTTGTTTCCTCCATCAACCCAAATCACTCCTAGCACACCCTTAGTACAAGTTAAAATGTATAGCAGGTGTATCACATGCCCTATAAACTGCTGTTCCAACAAGATACTTTGCAGCAAAATAATTCTTAAATGAATAGGAAAATATAGTATTGTATGACACATACATCACTGTCAGAGAAATCATTCCCAGCTTTGGTTTTTGTGCTGCAGATGTAATAATCCAAGCTCTCCTCATTTCCCATGTGGAACCTTTTAAGTGAAAAGCAGAAAATTCCAGCCAGAGGGAGGAAAGGACGCTAAGAGAAGCTGCCATGGGTCAGACACCAGCGTCTCTATTTAGGAAAATACTGCTGTCACTTCTTCTCTCATCAGTTAGACTTACTCTCAGCTTTGCTTCTAACTGGCTTCCCGTCAAATAGGTTGGCTTATGGCAGAGGTCTCCATGCATATTAATGATGAACAGTGAGTGGGAAAGATAACTAGCTCCCAAACTGTACGGCTTGTAATTAAAAAGACATTAAATTCTGGATTTAGAAGAAGCAGGGAAGCACAGCAGAGCGTCAAGGTGCTTTGTGTTGATTTCTGCCTTCTTGCAATTTAGGAAATGAGCCTAGGAATGAGCCAGAGGTGGGAAATTTGTGTTGCGGTTATAACCTAGGCAACTTTTTTGTTTTGTTTAATGTGTAACTCCACCATTCATTAAGTTGTCATTGATAAATACGATATACAGGAAATAGGATTCTCAAGCAGAGTTGCTTTTTGAGTATGTTGTGCCTTTGCTGCAGTGGACATCCCCCTTGTCACCTTTTAATATCTTTAAAATGAAAATATTGTATGTTGGAACTCTTGACCTTTTTATTTTTTTTTAATAGGCCAAAAGCAGGCTCTCTCACACTGGGTTTTATCTGTAGCCTGTAAACCACAGAGCCAACATTTTGACATCCCCTCTTTTTCTTTTTTAGTATATTTCATGCATTGCTGAGTTTAAATTATTATTATTATTATTATTATTATACAGTATTTATAAAGCGCCAGTAGTTTGCTCAGCGCTGTACATTACAATGGGGGACAGAACAATAACAATACAATACAATGCAAAACATGAGGGGATTGAGGGCCCTGCTCTTTCGAGCTTACAATCTAGGAGGGAGGGGATGGTGGCACAGGAGGAGATAGCTGTGGGGGATAGAGTGGTAGGAAGAGTGGAGGAGGTCGGCAAGTTAGCAGGGGGTGGGGTAGGCTTCCCTGAAGAGGTAGGTTTTCAGGGTGCACCTAAAGGAGAGGAGAGTAGGTGATAATCTGATGGGTTGGGACAGGGAGTTCCAGAGGATGGGTGACACCCTGGAGAAGTCCTGGAGGCGGGCATGGGAGGAGGAGACCAGGGAACTAGAGAGAAGGAGGTCTTGTGAGGAGCGGAGTGTGCGTGTTGGGTGGTACTTGGATATTAGGTCAGTGATGTAGTACGGGGCAGTATGGTGGACAGCTTTGTACGTCAGTGTTAAGATTTTGAATTTGATCCGTTGCGCAATCGGAAGCCAGTGAAGGGATTGGCAGAGGGGGGCGGCATCTAAATGGAGTCTAAAGTGTATTTGCATTGAGCATGAATTTTTTGGTTATTAATGTAGGGGCTACTTTACAGTAAACATCAAATATTGTCTATTCAGGGCAACATGGCAGGTACTGTTTATACTGATACCATCACAGATGTAAACCCCCCGGCTTTAATTTAATAAGCAGAGAAAGTGGAGATGCACTCCTGAGTGTGCACCTAATGAGAGTTGGAGGTAAAGGGAAAAAAGGCACGTTTATAGCAGCAAAGCAACTATTGACTCCACAAACTGTAGATTCTGTTTACAATACATTCCCTCTTCAACTAATTGATTTGGAAATACATGTTACTTCTAGATAACAGAGCGTATGACTTCTTATGTAGTGCATGCTACTTAAGGGGCCAATTGCAGGCCCAACACAGTCAT